TCTCTCTCTCTCTCTCTCTCTCTCTCTCTCTCTCTCTCTCTTGCTGGAAAAAAGAATCGTCTCGAACGGAAGTTTTAAATGGCAAAAGCACTTTTCATTCCATAGATATGCGCATGAAGGATGTTTCGCTGTGTAAATTATTTAAACGGAATGCCATTTTTTCCGGTTGAAAATGAGAAACATTTATTGACACATGCATAAACGAGCGAACGAACGATCGAATGGATAGGAAAATCTTCGGGTTTCAAGCTTTGGCTTGATGACTTATCAAATAGCAAAATTCCAAACCGATGTACAGTATTCAGTTTCTCCTCATCACTCAATCATGTGATACATTTTCTCACTCTCCCATACCCATAAATTTGTGACACTCAGTTAATGATTCGACGAACGGAAAATTTTTGTTTGCAAATAAATCTTAACGGATCGCATATTTTACTTAATGTAAACACAATTTTTTTTCTCCTTCGTATAGCAACGCTTTAATAAACAGCATTCCACAAATGATTTGTGTCTTTTTCTCTGTTCGCACACGCATCCTTCCGCAACAACAAGTACAAACTGTATCAAAACCGAAAACATGCTGACGCATTACACCGCATCAAAATTATTAAAACCCTGTCGAATTGCGCGTGTAAAAAAGTGTTCATTTCATTGGAACGCATTTGGATAAGTGAAAAAAAAGCTTTATTGCCACATGAGACTGTGCTTTTTTTCATTCCATCAGAGATAAAATGAGCGAAATGTGACGCTAATAAAAGTATCAATGCTAATAAGTCATGGTTTTGCGCGCATTTGGTTTTTCTACGGTCAGCAAAAACCGAAATAGGTACTAACGGAAATGTGTTTATTTCATGAAAAATGTGGGATAGAGAGAGAGAGAAAAACGAACAGTTCGTTTTACTTGTAATATTGTTTAGTAATTGATGGATCTCTTTTTTTCCCGCTTCATTAATGCCGTCAAATTTGCAATGAAATGTTATTTGCAACGGAAAAAGCGATGCTGTAATTTTTCTATCGAAATCCGAACGCCGACCAATTAGGCATTAATCATCATTTCTATGGACAAAATTCGTTCGAATGTTACAAGAAATAGGTCTTGCTTGCGCTTGGATTATGGTATGTATTGGTGTATCATCGCAGCATCAACAACAGCAACATCAACAAGAACCACACACAACACAAATTGTATAAGCTCATTACATTTGGCTTAGGACACGACATAGATAGAGAGAGAGAGAGAGAGAGAGAGAGAGAGAGAGAGAGAGAGAGAGAGCTGAAAAAACAGCGGCGCACATAAAAGCTCGTAAAAAATGAACGAAATATTTCATGATTTAGTGAAAAATAAATAAACATAGCCTGGAATTCATTCATAAAGATGCGCTGCCAACGAACAAACAATTACGCGGCATCAAACCAAATTAGCACCAGTAAACTTATTTTAAGTCAATCAGTTTACATCAGCTGTGTGAATTTGTCGAGAGCAAACAGCAGCAGCAGCCGCCACCGTCGCTCCGAAAAAGAGGAAATCAAGCACACCCATAACGGCAGCAACAACAACAAAAAACAAATTTTTCCATTTTACGTGCCTTTTTGCGTATGAAATGTAATTTGTTGAATAAATAATTAAAGTGTACAATAAATGCGTCGCAGATGAACGTAATCTGAGTTGAAAAACATAGTCGCCACACTCATAAAATTATCACAATAGAGTAATCGCGACTTTCACGTTTAAACGAATCATATTTTCAAGAAGAAACAAAAAACCTGCCACATCGACATCGAGACCAATCGTCGTCTTTCATCTCATTTCGGATTGCATTGCCGGTTTGATGCAAGAAACGGGCAGAAAAAAAACCACACGTGAGTTATTCACATTTCATGTCATTAGGCGAAGTTGGTTTCGTCATTAAAATGAGAGCACGGGATGGATGTCATTCGGGGCACACCGCATGTTGACGAACGCTAAAGTCAAATATCAAAGCGTCTCTTGCATCGAACGAACGAGTGATCGAGTGAGCCAACGAACGAAAGTAATCAAGCAAAGATGGATGAAGCGATGCCGTCTTCGTTGCTATATATCAGCCTACACCCATTACAATGTGAGATTTGTATCCTTGCCATTTCCGTTCCTTCGTCCACTTATTCGCAGAACAAACAAACCCAGAAATCCAAGGCGAACACGAAGAAAAAGACACAAAAAAAGAGACTATTTTTTACGTTCGCTGCATAAATAAAAACCGATTCATTATGCGCGTTGTCATTCAAATTGATTCAGGCATTTTATGCTTTATGGCTGCTTTCTTTTTTTTTGTTTTCGCGTATAATTTCCTCTTTTGTCTTTTATCACGGCTTCAATTTTGATGAATTTTCGGGCGATAAATTTTCGCTCCCTCGACTCTAGCCATGCTGCCGATGTCGGTTGTTTGTTTGACGCGAGCGGAGCAAACGAGCGTGGGGCATCCGACCAAAATATTGCTCCAATCGCTATCACCGTTACATTCACATGGCCCTTCGCCCATTCGAACTTAATTTTATTATGGAGAGACTTAACGCAGCGGCCGTATAATGCATGCATAAGGATAGCAAATATTTTTGTTTTTGTTTGTTTGTTTTTTTTTGGCTGTGCTTTTTCTCACAAAATTGAATATCGCATTGAATGATGAATGCTTAACTTTGAATGCGAATACATGGGAATGGTTTTTTTATTTAGAATAAATTGATGCAGATATACATATAAAAAAAAGAGCCGACTGAAAAATGTAAACAGCACACGCATACAATACACGGTATGCGATGTTGAAATAAAAAAAAACTTCAACTGGCAAAATTGATTCACCACAAAATGACACACAATACAGAGAGCAGAGTGTGTGCGTGTTTTTACTTGTATTTGTCATTGCTTCAAACTTTTTTTCTTTTTTATTATGACTTTTTATTTGGTTTTTTTTTTATAATGACTGTTCACATGTTAGAGTGACAGTTTTAGTGGCAAAATGAAACGGCCAGAAATAAATTCAAACGCGGATTTTATGTTTTGTGGGCCAATTAACAGTGACATATCTTTGGCAAATTTGTTGAGCACACGTATGGCACACGCATTCAACGTCAAAATTA